TCTTTCTCTTTTTATGAAGAACTAGCCTGATCCATTTGTGRGATAAGAGTGAGTAGATGAAGAAAGTAAGGGAAAGCCTTATTCAATAAAGGAATTTTATGATTATTTATGAAAAAGATCTATGACTATTATACCTGAATTATATTTAGTTTTGGTCTGTGCTTATGGTCCTTGCTTTGTTTTTGCTAACTTCTTGCCTTTCATTTTCAAAAGGCCATCAATTTGGAAATACTTAGTGTAGGACAGGGTACTGTGATGGAAAAAAAAAAAAAAAGCCTGTAGTAGCATTAAGAGCATGGCATAAATATCAGTCCTAGTAGTACCCCTTTGATTCTCTAACTCATGTTTGACTTGTATTTGGGAAGTGTATATACAGCCAACTTGCAGTCATCAATTGTAGCTTATCTGAACTGTAGGTTAGCTATATCAGATTTTTTTTTAACACTGGCTACAACAAGATTCACTAGCTTGCACTCAAATCTTAGCTGTCTTTTTCTGACCCTAGTTCATATTCAGAGGCAATTTACCTGATTTTGTCCAACTGACATTGAGGATAACCTAAAAGGTTCTGTATGATTCAGACTCCTTCAGCATAGCTGAAGCTGAGCTACAGTTAATAAGTAGTCACATATTTGGGGATCTGCTCTGGGATCTGCATCCTGTGCCTCCCCAGGCCACTCCTTGGGGTCCAGCTCGGATGGGATCTGAGTTGAGCTACTTCTAGTGTCTGTATCGTGGCCCATATCCCCCCTTCTCTGTGCCCTGCCCCTTTGGGGAATTGCAGATAAAAGCTTTTGAGGTGTAAACTTTTAGCATTTGGTGAAGGGCTTTCAGGTTGAATCCTCATGGTATTTTCTTGCTACTCTGCATCATGAATTGTATTTACTATCTATCTAGAAAAAGAATGTTCTAAGAAAGGAACTAATTGTTGTGTCCATGTTCTTAGTAATTTGGAGACCAAAGAAGACTTAAAATCATTCAGAGAGACGAGGACACAAGGAATCAAGTAACTCATTGAATCTTGCAAGTATTCATTTGTCCTTTGTTGGCCAGGTAGTGTGATAGTCCCGTTCTTTAGATATATTCATGACAGTTTCCACTGTTTCCACACTTGTACCAGTTTCTGCATGGTGTCTAGGAAGTTTTTTGAAGTAAAATAATTATTTGCACAATACAATTTTTATTTTGGCTTTCTGAAAAGTGATTTTTTTTGCCTATGATTACAGTGAGGAAGCCGTAGGAAAGAGATGAAAGAATATCAATGGGATGATACCTTAGAGCAAATTATATGACCATAAAGAGAATGTTTGAAGCTTGATGTCTTGCAGAGGCTAAATGCTCTTATAAGGCAATTGARAGAAAACCTACCTTTGTGTCCTGTACCTGTCCAGAGTATTTTCTTATGATGTGTTGATTCTAGCAGACTTGGTTACATTTTTTCTTTTCAACAATGTGGAGTAAGTTTGGGCTAACGCAGTGATGAGAGAAAACCTGAGGTAAAGGGACCCTGAAATATGGCTCTTATAAGCTCTGAGTTACATTCTCTTATAATGATTTGTTTTGTGTCTCTAAATGGACCAGGGAAAACTACATAATACTTCCCATTGGAAAAAAAAAATCCTGTCCGTAGAGTCTGAGATAATATTCCTTGGATACAACTCACTGGTGAACAATGAGTCACAGAATGATTGAGGTTGGAAGGRATCTTTGGAGATCACCTAGTACAAGCGGGGTCTTCTAGAGCATATTGCACTGAATCRCATCCAGGCAGGTTTTAAATATCTCTGGATAARGGAAGTGCACTCTCTGGGCAGCCTGTTCCAATGCTCTGTCACCTTCACAAGCAAGATGTTTTTTCTCATATTCAGGCAGAACTTCCTGTGCTTTATTTTGTGGACATTGCTTCTCATCCTATCACTGGCCACCACTGAAAAGAGTCTGTCTCCATCCTCTTGACACCCTCCCTTAAGATATTTATACCCACTGATAAGATTCCTCTCAGCCTTCTGTTCTGTAGCCTRAACAGGCCCAGCTCTCAGCCTCTCCTCAAAGAAGAGATGCTCCAGTCCTCAGTAAACTTTAAGCAACTGCTCAAGGTCCTTCATACAGRTCTTTTATATGAAGCATTACAATATTGTTAGGATTAAACATTAATAAAGGAAGAAAAAAAGCAGTATGGAGACCATGAGTAAATCTCAAAAGGTGAAGTTAAAATAAATGGTTTGTTTCAAAGCTCTAAAACATGGTAGACCGTCATGATGTACAGAACTTAGTCAACAAGCTAACTAGGGGTTAGAAAGGCAGCTGTGGTTAATATTCTTCTAAATAACTTAAAGTTTTTTTTAAAAGCTCATTAGGACACTAATGTGGAGTTTTTTTGATCTTTTTTCCTTTTATGTTCTTTCAATAATATAAGTGAATTAGTTTTAGTATTTTGGTAGCTTCAAATACGGCTTCACAAAGAGCTTTGTTGGAAGGGCAATCCAAGAGAGCTGGAAACCTTTCCCTAGCAGACGAGGACGGGCGAGTGCTGCTTTGGCACAGCAGGGCTGAATGAACTTCACTGTATGTTCCTCGTAAATCAACAGATCGGGAGGTACTGCCTGGAGGGAGGATTTGTATTTGTTTTCTCACTTTCTTTCTGGCTTGTATGTACCGACTTCATTCCTGTTGCTCAGAATCATGGCAAAAGNTTTTTTTTTTTTTTTTCCCTCTGCTCTTCTCTTATGTAAGGGTCTAATCCAGTGACAAATTAAAATGAGTGAAAAATTCATTAACAAAATGAATTCTGATTAAACCTGAAAAGTAGCTGAAGGCTATCTGATAAAAAATATCCAATTAACACAATCAGTGTAGGAGATATTTATTGTCACTTCCAAGATCTCTTCAATCAGGGAAAGAGTCATGCTTTAACTTAACTTTAGAATGAGGTTTTAATCTTTTGGAGAAGATGGTGCTACATAAAAAAATGTTTTGCTTCTGATTAGGAAACACTGATTATTGAAATAACTCAGAAGTGTAAGAAGCTTTTTCCAAGTGAGCTTCTCATTGAACTCTAGTTTTGATTAGCTACTGTATATATAAATTAAATTTTCTATTTTGAAATGTTTAAATGATACATAGCTAGTTTTAAGAGGGTTGTTACAGAAAGCTCTATGGTTGCTGTATACATGCACAGCTTAACTGCTTTTTGGAGTGTCTAGATAATGAAGCCCCATTGCAGTGTATAATAACAATTTATGATGTCAAGGCATTATATAGAAGGGCCTACATGAAGTGCAACATTTTGATAGCTAGTGATACTGAAATATTTTGGGAGTAAGGAAGATGAATCAAGAAAGTGTTGCCTTTTATTTCCCTTTTAACTTTTTATGGCACCTTCATCTGTGTTTGCTTCTTTGCCTGTATTTGATCTTCCTTTTTCCAGGGAATATGTAATCTAAAGTATAAAAATTCTCATGCCRTAAATGCACTTTGAGGAGAAAAATGTTTCCTAAATGTTGTCATGCGATAGATTTACAAAGTTGGCTTGGAAAGATTGACTTTCATAATGAAACCTGAGTGAATGGAACCAAGGCCAGTTACTTCACAGCAAAGTTGAGGAACCCTTAAGATTCTTCCTTTCAATTTCTTTTGCTTTTGCTTTGAGATGACCGCTCTGAGTTAGAGTCTGTGTACCTAGACAGGAAATAAATGCTATTAACTGACTTGTTCTGCTTGTTTTCTGTGAGAAATGAGTATGAATGGGTGGTGGCGAAGCCCTTAAGAGCTGAAAAAGTTTATTGGGGCAGAAAGTAAATTCTGCACTCTGATCACAATAGGGAAAATAACACCCACCTGTGGAGCAGTTGTCCTATAATTGTATATGTGTACCAAATCTCTGTCATCTTCTTAACTGTTGCACTGCTTTTGTTGGCTGGGCTCTGGCTCGTTATCATAGAGACCCTAGGGAATGGCTGTGGTGAAGTCTGGAGCTTTCAGACTTGCAGCTGAATTTGAGGTCAAACACTGGCTTTTTACTTGTAAGGTGACAAGCTGAATTCTAGATACCACATTCCTGTCCTTTAGGTGGAAGTCTGAAATACTATGACAATACTTTCTACTAAGTTTTCACACTTTGTTTATACCTATTTTACAGGAGAAGCAAACAGTAAAACCAAATTGTGATTTAAGAGAAGCTGTGCTTTTATTTGTGGTCGCACAGCAGCATGTGTGTATTTAGCACTGCTATCTGTGGGACCTGGGTCAGAAACAAGAGGGCACTTTGTGTTGCTGAGAATGAAAACAGGTCTTAAAAACCAGCTTTCCCCTTATGCTGTACCTCATCTTGCCCCTGCTTTTGTGCTTGAACATGTGGCATGACTGCATCCTACTGCTGGGATGCAGAAGCTCTGCTCTTATATCCCTAGTGGTGGTGTAGGAATCAGTCCTCCTCTCCAGAACTTGCATTTGCAGTTTTGGATAGAAATATTCTTCTGTGAAGTGATTCTGGAGAAGAAAATTGTATTGCTGTAAAGGGTGCTGCAGAATTACTGTGCTCCAGGCAAATCTTCCCCCCATCTCCCCCTTATTCAAAATCCTCTTGAATAAATACAATGCACAAGGTCCATGTATAAATTGCTAAGAATTAAAGAAATTGGCACCTCCTCATTTAACTGTGTAGCTTTTCTATTGATATTTTCTGTGTTTGCCTGTTTTGTGTGTTTCTTGTAGCCACAGTTACTGATAATTACTGTGTACTGTTTCTATGGCTTAAAAGCAACTTAAGTCCTGCACTGCTGGATGGCAACAAGAAGATTTTTACGTTACAATATTCCATATGTGATTTTTAATATTACTCCTTATCTTCCTCCTCACTCTTGGGTCAGTGACTACAGAATAGCAGTTAATGATTTTAAAAGAATATTTTACATCTATATCATGTTATGCCAGATAAAGCAGTTACTGTGTAGCCGCAGCAGTTTTAATACATAGAATATTTGTGTTACTTTTTCTTACAGATCTAGAAATGGCAATTGCATATTGGAATTTAGTCTTATCAGGAAGGTTTAAATTTCTAGATCTTTGGAACAAATTTTTGCTGGTAAGTACATACTGTATTTCTTCCTGAATAGCTTAGTACTCTCGCTTGTATAGCTCATGCTTACAGTAAAGAAAAAGGCGGGAAGGTTGAATACTTCCTTTGAGTACTTGTAAAAACTGAGATGATAGTCTTAAATCAAGCCAGATTTACTCAAACCAGATTAAATCTTCTGTGTATAATTGGCTAACTGAGAATAAAGCCAAAATATTTATCATGGCAATAGTGCAGTGTCCTCCTCACGGAAGCTTCTRCCTGCAGTGAGGGCCTAACTGGAGTTTGAACCTACGGGGGCTTCATTCTCAGGCAGCTGCGCTTATTGTCAGCCACGGAMGTCACCGTGTCCTGCTCTTTGCAGTGGGACTGCACAAACTCAGCGTTCTCGAAATGGCAGTTCTGTTGTGACTGACTTCACGCTGAGACGCTTTGAGTTTTAAGTGAAACTTCTTGTCTGAGTGATTATTTTGACTCATTTTTTAGATAATAGTTTGGAACTCATCTTAATGGTTTTCTRTTATCAGTACAAGTCTGTAGGTGGTTGAATAAAGGTGCATAAATTAAACTTTGGAAATCACAAAATATTCTCACTAAAGACCAAATTCATTCATCCATGTTTCTTCTTTTGCATTTCTACGTGTTTGCAAGAACTTAAATTATCTAACATTATATAAGATATAATTCATCTTTTTTTTTTTCTGTTTAACTTTTTCTGTGTAGTTTGGGAGAATAAAAAATCTTTCTACATTTTATCCCATAAGCTCTAATGCATAATAGGCAAAGTATGTACTTTTTAGAACTTTTTGTTCTAAGCTYTCTTCTAAATCAGTGAGGTATTTTAGACAGTGTATTTTATTCACTGACTGTATTTGCTTGATTCACCAAAGGAACTTGTGAAAAGATTAAAGACCTCGAATGCTAAGATTTCTAAGGAAATCTTAATGCTTCCCTTCCCCCAATTTGACTATATAATATGACAAACAGTTGTGCAAGTCTCTAGTTCCAACCCTATTACAGAGAATCTGGTGTAAAATGTGTTTGTCTTTGCTGTGAATATCACAGAATGGCTGAGGTTGGAAGGGACCTCTAGAGATCATCCAGTCCAGCACCCTGCTCCAGCAGGGACACCCAGAGCACGGGGCACAGGGCGGCATCCAGGCGGGTTTGGAGACCTCCAGAGAAGGAGACTCCACAGCCTCCCCAGGCAGCCTGTGCCAGGGCTCTGYCACCCTCACAGGMMAGAAGTTCCTCCTCATATGGCGATGGAACTGCCTGTGTTTCAAGTTGTACCCACTGCCCCTTGTCCTATCACTGGAATATTTGACTTAAAAACTTGCATGTAGTTTATTTGCTTCATAAGAATCATTTATAACAAAAAACAATTAAACTGAGGAAGTAGCAAGCTAGGAATCTTTAGGTGTGGGCATTTTTTTCTGTTTTTAAGAAACCCAGTTTATTCTCCTGAGTATACTGAAGTATTATTGCCAAAAGCAGTCTGTCTCACTCCCAGAGCTGATTCTTTTTGCTAAACTGCCAGAAAACAATTAGAGGACAAAAACAAATGAGTACTTTCCTGCAGGCTAATCATTTGTGTCCGCAAGAGATCAGCCAGTGCCACAGCTGGCTCGGGAGGTCCTGTGGGACGGTGGGGATGGAAGAAGAGGTTGAGGAAGCGGGGCTGTCACCGCCTGCCCCAGCTGGCCGCATCAGTGTCAGCACAGAGGAGGGGAGCGAGAGCCAGCAGCTGTGAACGGGGCTGGAAGGGAGSCTGCAAAGGCTGACAGTGCAGGGAAAGCTGCCTAGGAATGAGGCTTCCCCAAGGAACAAGGCTTTCGGAGTGCTGCTCAAACTGGCCACACTGGAAACAAGTGTGTGAAGCGGGGGATGCAGAAGGWGGATGCCTGAAGTTGGCGGGGGAGATGTGGGATTGGCTGGGAAGAGGCTGGAGAGGGGAGGAGTGGAGCAAAAAGAGACAGTGAGCTCTGRTGGAGATAGCAGCTGATGAGAGAGGCTGAGATGATGGATCCTGAAGGCAGCCTGGAAGAAGTGAGAAGAGGAAGGTAGGAGAAAGGTGCAACTGCAGCCAGGGAGTTGAGGGAGAGTCTGGATTAGTAAAAGGGATGATGAAAGAAGGACTCCAGTGGAAATGGCAGAGTGCCAGCTTGGAGCTACCGAGCTTCTGAACCTTCAATGGGAGCCAAGATCCCTTAAGCAGAAGCGTGAAGTACATTTGTTTTGTTTTGTTTTTACCATAACAAATGGAGAGCATGCATCCTAAATGCAAAACAGAAGAAATAAAACAGCTTAAGCAAGGTTTATTATGCTTTTCCTTTTCTAATAGCTATTTATTTTTATAATTTTCTTCAGAAACTACTTAGTATTCAACAGTACCCTTTTTTTTTTCCTTTACAGGAACACCATAAAAGATCAATCCCGAAAGATACTTGGAATCTTCTATTAGACTTTGGAAATATGATTGCAGATGATATGTCCAACTATGATGAAGAAGGTAACAATTACTTGAGTAACTTTTCAAAAATTGTTATAGCAGAATTACATCTTTTTTCTGAATGAGCAATAGAACCTACTATTACTTGAGATGTTAATTTGTTTACTCATGAAGGTGTAGCTGCAAATAGAGTATTGCACTTACTACCAAAAAGTTAACATGAAGTTGGCTTTAATATGTCAATAAAACTAAAGATACTGTCAGGCCATTATGTAGCACATGTTCTTTGAATCTGTTACACTGCAGAAATCCCCATTAAACTATATTTCAGGTCAGAAATGTTGCTAACAGCAAGGCCGTGTATCATTGTGCTGCTTGCAAGAATGTCCCCATTAAAAGAACCAAAGAAGAACCAAAGCATATTTTTACTAACCTAAGTGCAGCTTGCTCTCTGTCACTAATCCTGCAAATCCTGCTTTGCAATGGATGTGTACAGAAATATTCTTTAAATTATCAATGACTTTTAACAGGAGGGCCATGATTTTGTTCTCAGCTAATTTTAAACCTGGTAGGGTAGATAATGCTTTGAATATGTTTGATTTGTATTAAGAACTGTTGCTGCAAGAGAAGATTAGAGTGTTTTGATTTACTAGCTAGGTGCTTTATCAAGTGTCCATCATGTCCTGTGTGTTAGAGCCCAGCTGTGTTAGAAATATTGAAGTAAGCTACAATTTTAGGAATAAAATAGTGTATTGCTAATAATGACATGTTCTCTTCTAAATTGCTTGACTTCTCTTTAGGAGCGTGGCCTGTTCTTATAGATGATTTTGTGGAATATGCACGACCAGTAGTCACAGGAGGAAAGCGTAAAACTTCCTAACCCCAGACTCATCAAAACGGACTAAATTTGCAGTCTGAACTGCATTAGGTAACGAAGATTTGTTGGCCAATAACTGTGCACACTGTTGCTGGTCTCAGTGGTCATGATGAGACTGAAATTCCTCCTTTCTGCCTAAAGAAAATGACGGCTGGCTTGTGGACACCTCAAGAACACACTCGGAAGATAGTCCAGGCTGTTTGTAGGCTATTGGCTTCAATTATTGTACTGGTTGTATCATATAGGATGTAGATTTTGCATGATTTTATACTTCGGAGAAGTTTAACTAGAGGCCATTTTATTAAAGTTTTGACAGCACAGCATGCCATTCAGTTCATGATCCAAAGTGAACACCAGCAGTTACATGAATAAAATTGTATTATATTGTACTTATATGAAAAGCAGTATTTGTGGTATATAAATTAAATCCCTAAATAAAACTTATGCAGTATGTTGTATTTTTATAAAAGTTAGCTCTGTGCATCTGCCCTAAAACAGAATTGTAACAAGAAACACTTTTTTTACTTATTGCTGAAATTTTAAATTTATATTTTTAAGCTCTTAGATGTACAGACAGGTCACATCTAGCCTCCTTTTTCCCCAATAAGATTAACATCCTCATTGTTGTATTCATGAAGGTCTTGGACATGTTACTGCAGGACTGCTGAGGAAGGACTGCCCTGCATTACGTTGCGAATCCAACTTTTATTTTGACCACCACTTTAAAGTAGACCTGAACCAAAGATGCTTTTATAATTTATGTTTGATTATCCTATTCAATTGGTCTTCAATTATATATTTTGCTTACTTTATTTAAATTATGAATTGGTATTAATTTTTTTAGGCTTAATAATAGCCTGAAACAGATCATAAATTCTAGCTAAACGCAATGTTATGAGTGCAATTCCTGATGTGTCCCACAAAAATAGATATTAATAAGCCCAAAGATGTCCTGTAAGCAAAGTTAGCCCCTGCTTTAGAGCATCAGCTAGAGGTAAGGAGAGTTTRCTTTGCATTACTGGTGTAACCCTCCAGATGTTTTTGCAATAGAATTATTCAGTAACATTACAAAGAAATAGTATGTAGGTGAGATGTCAAATCATTTTACACCAAATGTGATTTCACTCAGTCATTTCTTTCTCCTATCTAATATAAAGTATGTGGAGGTCAGTCGCTTCTTTCTCAACAGTGTTTTCCAGTGCTTCAGCACAAGGAGGTTCCACCAGAAATGACTGAATATGTTTTCACACGGGGCTCTTTTGAACACTACCTCATCAAAATGAGTTTGTCTTGGCCGCTGTAAGAGTTTGCTAAAGCAGAGAGTTGTTAATGAGTATGTACAGCTGTGATTAATGTATTTTCCTCTAATCAGAGTTGAGTTGATGCAAGAACTTGGGAGATGATAGTGCATTAAGTTATGTAACATATCTTTTTGGATGACATATGAGATAATTTAAGTATTTCATGAGAGGGTATTATTTTGTTTCGTAATTGTGAGGATATAAGAACTGATACTGTTTTTCTAAACTCTAATATTTAGGGTTTCATATAAGCTGTCAGCTTTTATTTATGTCAATGCAGCCTACAAGACCAAGTGAAGATACTGAGTCGAGGAATGCTGCCTTCATTCTTTCTCCCATGTGAGAGAAGCCCAGTAGTGCATGATGCTAAAAAAGCAGGGTGAGGACAGAGCCTGCACTTGAATAAATTAGCAAACGTTTTGTGAATAGTGACATAGAAAGCAAGTTCATAGAAATCACAAGTGAGTGATTTATTATTGGTCTTATTTTTCCCTCCAAGGAGTATTTAGAAACAGTGTGCCGTGCATGGCAGCCACTAGATGTCAGTGTCTCAGTCTTTAGATACCTCTCTCTTTTCTGGGTAGAGAGTTAATATGTAATAGTAACAAAAATTATTACTTAACAGCTTCTCTTTCGATGTATGCAAGTCTAGCTAGTCTATAGACGTCAATTCAGATATAAAAACAGATTAATGCTTTTGGGGCTGTTTTTGCATTTCATTTACCTATTCTTTCCCAATCAGAATAGGTAGTTTTTATATATTTCTTGTAGGCTTTGAAGAATAAATCTGTGACTTTGAAGAATAAATCCAAAAACATCAGCTGCATTTATGCAGTCAAAAGCAATGGACTGTTTGTTTTTCAGACAATTGTGACTTAAAATGCATAGGCACAGCATAACTGAGCAGAAGTCATTTAGTCTCATGCTCTATGATGTAGCCAAGTAGTTTGCATAGGATTAGAGCTTACAAAACACTTGTTCCTGCTGCAGACTCTGTCAAAGCAAGCTAATGACTGTTTTTACCTTTAAAAACAACAGATTATTAGAAAGGCTCTTCCTTTTTTTCTGTCTTCTTCCTTTTCTTCTCTCTCCCTCCCTCGTGAGGAAGAACTTCTGAAGACCCGAGTGTGCAGCTAGGTCTTCCATGTGTGTGTTGAGGGCTTTGGCATGGTCCATGTTAACATGAGGAGGAAGGTGCTCAGCACTTGAGATRGTTCTCATTTTTTCTGCACATACACTTATTCACTTTTAGGCTTTGTTTTTATGAGGATCCTTCACAAAAGGCACCTTTCAGTAGAGGAAGACTGGCCCAAATACTTTTAAGACACATTTTGCTCCCAATCAGGCATCCTATTCCCACTCTACCCAGTTAAAACCACCTATGCATTTTACATTCCCATAAACAAGAGCATGGAATAACATTTCCAATATTATCCAACAATTTCCAAGCTTTTACATTATACATGCAAAAGTAATTAACCTGCTTTTAAGCAATGACTTCCATATGCATTTTAAAACTTGCTGCTGTCCACTCGCTTTACAGGGGACTGTGACCCTGTTTTTAGGTGAGCTGAGATGAGACCTCAGCTGAAGAATTTATASTCATACCTGGTATGGAAATGGTCAATTTAGATTTCTTTTCAACGCATACAGTGTTAGTTCTTAGATATGCTGTATATATATTTGAGTTGGTGCCAAGTTGGTTGGTTTTACCTCYTAAGAGTATTTGAAACTGAGCCATGGGCTGTGACTTTGCCAGCTCTAAACTGAAATGTGATTTATCATGTATGCCATGCCAAGGAGAGTAAGCCCGTAGGCGTCCCCTCATGCAATGCACCTGAGAAATTTGCTACCGAGAACGCTGTGCACCTGTAAACTTTGTGGCAATTGAAAAGGAATAAATGAACTTGCAACATGAAGGATTGAAGTCGGTCGTGTGGGCTGTCAGTGCGTTTTGTCAGCTTTGTGCTTKGGAAGCCTTTGTAAAGGCTGGGGTTTATTTCTGTTTTCCAGGGAATTTCTTAGATTCTTGTTTTATCCCATCCGTTAGAAAATGGCAAGGATGTAACACATGATTTTTTTTTTTTTGCAATTATGCTTAAAATAAATGTATGCCTGTTTTGCTCATCTGTGCCATCTTTACCTTCTTAAAAAGCTTGCTGTTTTTACGTGCGGTGCTGGGGCTCTTACAGCTACCTGCCAGCAACCATCTAACTGCAGTTTGTGTTACTGGTTTGTACTGGAAACGAGAAGTCTCACTGCAGGGAAAGCCCTGCTCAGCCCTGGCCTCCAGGCTGTGTAAGCAGCAGCGCACAGAGATGTCTGTGCAGAGACCTTCCAAGGTATGTACACGCCTGCTCCTTTTTTTTTTTTTTTGTCTGAAAACATGAATCAAAATCTAGTTTGGAAGTTCAAATGCTTTCCTCCTTCAAGGAGCACGAAGGCACCTGAGTAGCCCGTGGTGTGAGCAGGCCACAGTGAAGCTTCTTGTCTCTGCCAAGATGCCTTGAAGTTTGTTTTACCAACCACCCTGGCACTTGGGTATCACCCGGCTCGGCCTCCTCCTGTGACAGCGACGAGGGCTGCTGCTGGTACTTGAGAACCACAGGAGCCCCTTCCCTTCCAGCCATTGGCACCCACTGCTTTCCTCGACTGTCGACAGCCCTATCTGGGACATCAAAGACACAAGTTTCCCCAAGGGAGGATGACCAACCTTGCACAGACAGGAGAACTCTCTTCCCCCCTCTCCTTCTTTTATATATATTTCTTTCAAGAAATCAGTCGTTCTTTGACCTTTGTATTAGAGTGCTGGGTGGAATTAAGTCAGGATGACACCTAGGGAACTAGTTTTTTTGATTATAAACAGGCAGAGGGATCTGCAGCTACAGCTACATTTTCAACCGCGAGTACAAATTCCAAGTTTCAGACAAGTGGGTACAACGCTCACTTCTTTTTCAGAAAGGACTAAGGGCAGCTTGAAGGCCTTAAATTTGGATTATTTACTTGTTGGGGTTCTTTGGGCTCATATACAAACTTGAGAAACTGCACGCATTACACAGGCTTTATGTAAAGTAGGAAAGGCCGAGTTCCCTTCTGCAGTGGTGTGAAATTAGTTCATCCTCACTGTTACAGAACTGAGTCAAAATAGTGGCTCTTTCCCTGATTTTAGTGAATATTCTCCTTATACCAGAGAAAAAAAGATGAAATTTACATGCAGTTTGGAGTGGGTGAACTTGGAATCAAGAACATTTCGCAAATTCATATGTTCGGATAACAGGAGCATCATTCACGGGTGAAGTGCTTGGGATGTCATCATGTTCATTTTAAACGCTGAAGGCCCCGTGGTGACACAGCAGTCTCAGCTGGTGCTCCTTTTACCACCTAATTTTTTTGTAAACCTGTAACTGAGCCATCGAGTTGGAAGCTGCCATCTGTTCCTGGCAGTGAGGACGCGCTCCCAGTGTCTGGTTCCTGGGTCCCTGCACCACCGTTAACCAACCGCTAATCATTGGAACAAGGGTGCACAAACCAGAGGCTATTTCTACCAGTTTTGCATCTAACCTCTTATATCGTAGCATGGTGATGGTGATGCTTCTCTTTCATTCCAGTGTTCCTTTTGTAAAGTTATTTTATATGCATAAATTATGTAGTTGTGCAATTAGTTGCTTACTGTTTTGGGTGATGTTAGTAAAATGCATCCTTTATACTTTTGGCCTTTTCTATCCAAATGGCAACCAGCTTTTCTTTCTGACAAAGATCAAAGCAAAACAAAACCTTTCCTAGGTAGCCTTTATCAAAAGTACAGTCCTGTCAATCAAAGCTTTCTTTTTATCTAGTTAAGTTTATATTTACACTTATATTTTCACCTATAAAGCAGTAATCTTGATTCTTTGGAATAGCAAGCATGGCACCTTGGAACCACAATATGGGTCTATCTCAATAGGCCTCCCTGGAGGTAGATGTTGAGCTCACGCTGTGACATGTTTGTGGGCAAAGCATGTTTAAAAGGCTGTAAGACTGCACGGACRCTTCTTGCCTTGAATGACAGAGAGCAGAAAAACTGTAGTGGGAGAATAAGCAAATAATCTGTAGGATACCAAGTTTGAAAGCCTGGTATTGATAAAACTCTCAATGCTCATTCCARCTGAGACTCCTTCACGTGTGAGCTTTGCCAGGTACTTGGGCTGCCAGTTAAATACATGTTTCAAAATCGTTTTCTTTCAGAACTGACGTGTAGGCTGTGCTGGAGCTCTGGKTTAGGAAAATGTCGTTCTTTGCCCGAGAACAAGGAGATGCAAGATTTAAGTTGTTATTTTGTTCAATGTTTATTCAGGGGTGCAGTGAATTACTAAGGTATTTTTGCTATAGGTTGAACAGAGCAAGAATGTTGTGTTGTCTTGGAATCAGGTAGGTTTCCGGGTCGCTTGTCCAAAGACAAGCCCACCCGAGCCTCCAGAAGACAGAATATTGCCACAGGGCATAGCTAGAAATGTGAGAGGTTTACTGCGTTTTACTAGGTTCTTACCATGCAGCCCATCAGACCAGGATTCACTAAGTTTGCAAATGTCTTTYCTCACATATCACTGTTTCCAGTTTCTCGACGACTCCCCAAAAGGGAGACTGACTCTCCCCTCTCAGAAAAGTGAAGGGAAATAGATTAATTTACGAGTTATTAGATAAATAAACACCCCTGTGGAGGCATGTGTTTTTCTGGGTGTAGAGTTACTAATGCTGGGTAGGGCTGAGCACTGGCTGGCTTGCTTCACGCGGGGTTGCAGAAGTGATGTTTTTGCGCTTCACTCTGCGGGCACGCTCCTTCCTGCAGGCTCATTGAACAAAATCCCTGGCTTATGAAATATTTCCTCTCCATTGGGTCCCAGGCAAGGGATGGCATCTGCAGAGCCAGAAAAGGAAGCCCTTGCCTTATAGAGCGAGCGCTCGCTGGTGACACAATGGCTGATATAAAGTGTCAGCAGAGCTGAGCTGCAGGCAAAGGAACAAAGAAACATCCAGTGGCCGTTTCGCACGGGAGGGAACGTGGAAAGTGCCTCGGGGATGGATAAATTCAAGGCTGCGCTCGTACTGGCAGGGGTAGGGGATGCTCTGGGATACCGAAATTTCTCCCGAGAAAACAATGCTTTAGGTGCAAAGATCCAGCAGGAGCTGAAGGAAATCGGGGGGCTTGAGAACCTGGTGCTCTCTTCGGACAAGTGGCCGGTGAGCGACAACACCCTCATGCACATGGCCACGGCGGAGGCCGTCGTCACAGGTAGGTGACACCGGGCGAGCGGGGGCAGTTCGGAAAGGGGCAACGCTGTGGAGCTGCTAGATACACTGAAGGAAGCCACAGAAACCCTGCCAGGTTCCTAAATGCTGCGTGTGTGAATGAGAGTGTCTTCTAGAGGAGCACAGTCTCGTGCCTCTTGTGCAAACGAGGGAGATTTCGTTTCTTAGCTGTGGAGTAGCTCTCCTTATGTTTTCCACAGGTTTCAAGGTTAAAATACTGCATGTCCAGCATAATCTAAAAAAAGTAAAATAGATTATCTGCATAGTATACTTCAGAGATTAGCACACCCTAGGGAAATGAACATCTAAATCTCGTCTATAAAAAAAATAAGATTAGTTCTAGGTGTATTTTTAGCATACTTGTGTTCAGAGCTTCAGGTTGGCATAGAGTTGCCTTACTGCCTCTTTCAGGCTAAAATCATTAGGACTGCCTCATCCTTGCCAGCTTCCAGATCAAAGGCTGCACCTGCGAAGCCAGAAAAGGCAGTTTTCTTTATGAGGAGAGTTCTGTGTCTTTAGTCGAGAAAAATATTTTAAAATGTGATGTTTTATAGTAATGTATGTCAAACTAGTGAATGTTATTAGTATGTGTCTTCTAAAACTACAATAGTTTGAAAGAGCACACTTGTTTTTCTCTCAAGGCAGTAATTTTTTTGGAAGATGCCATAGAATCATAGAATCCTTAAGGTTGGAAGGGACATTTAGAGATCATCTAGTCCAAACCCCATGCACATGCAGAGTCACCTAGACCTAGAGCATGTGGCACAGGATTATATTTATATTGACTCTATTGATAAAAGTGAGGCTTTTTGAGACCATCAAGCTTGTCGTCAATAAGAACATAAGAAGACAGTAACCATGCAGTAATATTTTCTCGTTTCAAAATGAATCAAACTTTTATCCCTGTAAAAAATATTTCTATTTTTTCTTAACTCTATTACACTGGAGAGCCAACAATAGCAACAACTTACAACGTAGCTAGTATTGCCAAAGTCAATGAAGTTTCACTTGTGCTTCTGTTTCACTGCTTTATCCAACTGCTACTAAATTTAGTAGTGAGAGATTAGCTGGAGAGTGTTAGACACTTCAGGCTCGGCTATTAGCTAACCAATGGTTTAAGGGATAGCTAATACACTAAAGATAAGGGCAAGATGTCAGCCTATCAAGAGAAAAGATGACTAACATATTTCTGAATATAGGCTATGATTAAATACATATCATATGTTTTCTGCTTGTTGAACTCCATAAATCTGTGACTTCAGAGTAATCAAGACGGTTAGACTATAATAATAAATCTAATTTCTTAAATGCAGCGGGAGCACAGCTGTTCTTTAAAGAAATAAAAGTCTCACTATGTTTCATATCGACTGTGTTTATCCTGTACTCTTGTTTCTCTGTCCTCTTTGGACAGTCTTTTCAAAAGGTCCTCTCATGGGCTGGTGAAAGAGCAAAAAGCTGTAGCGGGAAATTTTAGGAAGAAATGCTCATTGCATGGCAACATTCCTGAAGATAAGAAAGCAAGTCATCTTGTTGGCTTCCCTAAAGGAAAGCAGAGCTGCTCTTGCCTCCAACAATGTTTCCTCATGGTAAACTAAATGCAAAAAAACCACCAGGTCTGACCATGGCTCAACACGTGTGCAAAATTGCTGAAGCCAAGAGAGAAAATCTGGTGAGGGTGGCAGTGAGTGCCCCTGCGACACCCAGTGGGTGTCCTGGCCCAGTGACCTGCATGGTCGTGCCACAGGGAGCGCTCAGTTGCTGTCGGAGATGACCAGGAGCGTTGACGGGCTCCAGCAGCTCCATCCTCTTCCTCCATGACAGCGACTCAAGTGCAGAGCATACACGCACGGTGCCAAAAGAAAAGAGGAGCAGGAAGGTCTTTAAAAACATGTTGGAAATCTGTAACCAAAAAAAATGTGGGAAGAATAACCAGCCACAAGTGTCCTGCCCCTCGCTGCTGGTACTTACAACAAGGTATCACAGGTAGCTGCACTGGCTGCCTGGGACTCCTCTTGCAGACAGAGAGGGGGACAATCAAGGATATTTCACGTCCTAGGAGATTCGCCCTCTCAAGTGCCCCATTTGCCCCTATATCCTGCAGAAGAAGCATGGGTGACAGCACTTGGTCACCTCAGTTGTGGGGCATCCACCTGGGCAGAGGACTGAGGTAGGGGCTGAAGGCTGTGCAGGGAAGTGCAGCCTTTAACACAGAAAGATGAGAGCTTTTCTTTCTCTTTAGTGTCTCCCACAACAGCAAGCAAATAAGACTGTGTCAGAACATCATCTCTGTTTAAAATCCTATTTCACACATCTTTTAGCAATTCCCTATAGGTGATTTTATTTACGTTTGTTTATCTAAAGTGCAGAGGAGGGGATGCCATTCACTAAAATCATTCAAAGCCACATTCTCTTGCACGCTCAGCCCCCCCCCCCCAAGTGATATCCCCAAGAATACTCACCTGGAAAAAACACTCTCCAAGATGAGAAACCTGTGCAAACCTCCCAAAGTGCCTGGGTGCTGCCCTCRAGATTGCTCCCAGCCGGAGGCCGGGGAAGCCAACGAGCCCACAGTGGAGGGTTGGTGATGAAGGTTGGAGCAAGTCTGACGTTGGGAGCTGATTTAGGCCAGCGCTGCCCTGGCTGAGCAGGAGAGGTCCGAGGATGCTCAAGGCCAGGGCCAGCAGTGGTGATGGCCTTGCAAGGAGGCCGAGCTGCCTCCCCAGCTCCGCTGAGGCTCCCCTCATGCTAACCAACAGCCCGACGGGGAAGTTCAGTCCACCAACRAAGGATAAACAAAATACCTACTTCCAGCAAGGATTTGTCATGTGAAGGAGGAACAAAAGCTTAACATCATGGAAAGCAGGAGAACTATCACTGTGGTCAGGAAAGGTTTTTCCTTTCTGACTCAAACATYGACTAGAAAAAGAAAAGCTTTTGTTTTGAAAGAAAGTTTGCCCTACTGACCAGCCTGACTCTGATACAGGAGCTGTGGTGGGCCTAGACAGTCCTAAGGTGACAGGSACCAAAGCACCTCTGACCGTGGAGATAATACTTCTACAGAAGCCACCAAGTAATAAATTCCTGTTCTTGGCTCACGTCCAGATAAAATGACTTTTAATTTTTAACTTCGAAAGGTCAGTAGCTATAAGTACCTTGTTCCTCAGGGATTTTGTTTAGTACAGCTAGTGTATTTGATAAGATAGTTAAGATAGTCTTTTTTTTTTTTTTTAAGAGGAAAGAGGTAAATCTTGTTTCATTTTTTTTCACAGATCTATTCATTTTTTTTCTGTTTACATAAAAGGTATTTAGAAATGACTCAGGGTTATGGATGCCCAAATTTTGTCTAATACTAAACCTGTTCTGTGGATCTCAAGAAACCACTAATCTCTGATAAAATGATTGAAGATACTTTTAGAAGAACTTTTCCTACYGTGTCATTGGATTTCCCAGTCAACAGGGTTTCTTTGAGTGCGCTGGAAATAGATAAATGGGCAAATCCTGTCAACATCCTCGGCTCTCATTGGTTGCAAAATTGCAGTAAAAGTCAGCAGAAGCTTTTCCTCCTGGAGAACTGAGAGCAGGAGTCTTCAATATCAATATTATATATGGTAGATTAAACAAGCAGTTACACAGAAGAAAAAATAAAGGTCTTTAACCAAGGAAAGACACCCTAGAAAAGACTGTAGACCTTAGTTGAAGAAATCAATGTTAATGAACATATTCTAGGAAAATTATCTGCTGCTCATACTACAATGTGTAAGAATTTACTACTACTACTAAAGTTTATAATGGTTTACATAAAAGCTTTCTATTCTGAATACTGTACTGGYATGCCCCTGCATGGAAGACCTAACGATTTTAAACAAACACAAAACGCAGGATCAAAAATTAAGCTTGCTAACTTGCTTTCGATTACGCCTCTCATTAAAATAATTCAGCAATCCTTCCACAGGAATTCATTTCCAAATTGGACCCGTGCCTGCGGACGAGCGCAAGGGCGCAGAGTGAGGCAGGCACCGCCGGCTGCATTCACAGCCCCAGTGCCCACGACGGCAGCGCGTTGGCCTCGCGCTCAGGCACCCCTGCAAATGCGTCACAGCCTGGGTCTGCAAGGAGCCCCTGAGCAGCTGCTGGGGGAGAGCGGCCTGTCCTCATCCCTTAGGCTGCAGGAGTTTAAAGGGAA